TCCCCCGCCTCCCCACGGCCTCCCCCGGGAGCCGAGAGCGGGTGTGGACGGGACCGACGTGGCACGAATTCGGTAGCCCAGACGGGTGGCCCGGGCGGCCTCGGGTGTGGGGACACGCCCAGCTGGAGGAGCCGGTGGAGGCGGAGGAAGCTGGCGCGCGGGGCCCGGCGGACCCGGGTGGTAGCGCAGCTGTTCCTGGCGGAGCAGGGTGATCAACGTGGGCCCTTTCGACAGCCCAGCCGGGGCCGCGCTTGGCACCCGAGCCTCCCCGGGCGCCCAGGGAGACGCGGGGAGCGCCCGGAGCTGGAAGCCCGGGGTGGGCGGGGAAGCTGTCCGTGGTGCTGAGCGGATCCCGCACCGCTCCCGCCAGCGCCCGCTGCGGATCCGCGCCCCGGGGGAGCTTCGAACCCGGGTGCCCGCCCAGTTCAGAGGGCCGCAGCGTCTTCCCGGTACGGACGTTGGGCCTTCTTCTCAGTCCGAAAGTCGCTCTCTTGGGCAGTTCATCCCAAAGGGTTTCCTCGAAAGACTCAGAAAGGGCGCAGTTCTTGACCGAGGGACCTATTTACCCCGGAAGCCACCGCGGGAAAAGATGCCGGCCTTCAACAGATGGGTTCCCCTGGCTGCTCTCCTGCTCGCGCACTGGGGTAAGTACCCGCACGCTGCCAGGCCAGATGCAGACACCGGAGTGACGCTAACCCTGATGCCCACGGATGCCGCTGGTGGCCGAGAGGCCCGTGGGCTTTGCGTGCCAGGCGCCGGGATCCTCAAGGGTTCCTCGGGACCTGGGCTTGGGGACTGGAAAGGCGCCACCCCGCGCCTGCCGCTTTAATCCTGGCCTCCTCCGGTGGGCCTCCAGCCCTCCTCCAGTTTCGATATGTCTAAAGTATTTTTTCCTCCTTGCCCTTTGCTGAGAGGGAACGCGGTCACGTTCCTTGGCAAACATCTTACTTGCATTGTATTGCATTTCTTAACGCAGTCAGGCTTTCTAAATCCCGAAAGCCTGCTGGGTCTTCCCATTTGCTTCTCAGCTTTACCATTAAATAGGTAAAAGCGGATGCATCCGTGTGGGGAGTGAAAACATCTTAGCTGTTGATCATCTACTCACTTTTCATAAGGAATGGGAGGAAAGGGGGCTTCAGCCATCTGCTGTGCGTTAGGTCAGTAGGCGGTGGGGGGGGGTGCAGCTTTCATCTCTCACTGGTACGTGAGACCTAAGATGCCTCGGTGTTTGGGTTTTGGGTTTTTTTTGTTTTTTTTTTGCCTTCAGAAATGAATAGACACTGGCTTGTCAGTTGCAAGAGACTGACCTTCCCCCTCCAAGTAAGGCGTGCTGCCCTGTAGCCGGCAGGCTGAGCAGAGAGATGGGGGTACCGGGGTGTCTGACGATGGTGTCTGAACCTGTGGTAGAGACGTTTTACCATGTGTCATCATGTCTCAGCGTCTGCGTGTGTAAGCCAGTGTGTGCTTGAGCATGTAACAGAGACACCTGAATGGGTCAGTGAGATTGTAGTGATGTGCATGTGTGTGCATGTATGTCTGCATGTGTGCATGCATATGTGAACACGTGCATGTATGTATGTCTGCGTGTGCGCATGCATGTGGAACGTGCGTGCATGTGTGTCTGCATGCATGTGTGTCTGTATGCATGCATGTGTGTGTGCATGTGTGTGTGTGTATGTGTGTGCAGTTCTGGGTATCCCTGACCAGAGCTAGCGGAGGGGCCTTTGTGTGTCCTCACTGTCTCCCCTGCCAAACTTGATAAAGGGCACTTGACCCCTTTGGAAGGTAAGCCTGAGTGACCCCGTGCCCATGCTGCCATGAAGGCCCCCCTGCCTGCACGTGGCAGACATGCTGATGAAGCACCTCTGTCTCGGAGTCACTTCCTCAAGCCTTGGGACAGACTCTAGCCACAAGCATTATCTGGATTTTGCATGTGACCGGGGCAGAGTCCAGCTTCCTGTTGAGCAGATGCCTGACCAGGCAGACAGGGAAGGGTGAGGAGGAAGCGGTGCAGTCCCAAGGGCAGACTCCCCGCCCACCCCCAGAGGAGTAGACCAGACTTGGAGACAAGCAGACATAACAGGTTGCCGATGATCTCACCTGCTTCAAACATTAAGCCGAGATTCCTCAGGGGAGGCGAGGGCTCGGGAGGGGAGGCCGGGGAGAGGTAGTCTGCTTGCATGAGAGAGCATGTAGATAAAGCCGCACTTGTAAAGCGGGTTTGGGAGAGATTCGCAGAGACTTCCTTCCTAAGCCCAATCTAACTTTGTGCAGTCCCTGTGTGAATTCCAGCGGGGGGCAGACAGCATGCTCTACCCAATAATCTTTTTTATAAAATAAGTATTAATTTAATTTTGTTATTTTTAAAAATTTGCTATAGGGCACATGCACTCACCAGAGACAGAGAAAGAGAGAGAGAGAGACAGAGAGAGAGAGACAAAGTGAGAAACCAAGCTGCCAGGTTCAGGATTTGAACCATGGCAGGCTGTATGGGAGTCCAGTGCCTTAACCACTATACCACCTTCTGGCCCCTGCACAAGAATCTTTTTTTTTTTAAAGAATTATTTTATTATTTAATTGTATCTATTATTATTTTTTTCTTAGTTTAACCAGAGAGAGAGGGATTGAGGGAAAGTGAGAAAGCAAGCCACCAGGTCCAGGACTTGAACCGTGGTTGCCCATGTGGGAGTCCAGTGCCTTAACCACCATGTCACCTGCAGGCCCCTCTACCCAAGAATCTTTCAACTAAGAAGTGCAAATCCTGGTTGGAGAGCAATATGTGCCACTGGCTTACTGTGTAACAACCTTAGAGTTTCTGGCTCATCGTATGTAGCGTTTAGAAGTTGGCACAGGTGGTTATCTGTTATAACGTCCCTTTCTGCTCCACCACTGAATGGTAGGGAAATATTTTCAGAATGTCACTGACATTCACAGAATGCCCATCCCCCCCTTGCGAAACAACTTGGGAAGAAGCGTTCGCATTACACGCATCCTTGCTCGTTCATTCTCAGCTCGTTACCTGAATATTGGCTATTGGAACTGAAAAGCTGCAGAAGGGAACTGGGAGCGTCGAATGCCTGGATGCTGAATGTCAGAGAAAGCGCCTCACTTCACAATGCAGTTTCATTCTGTTCCTGTGTACTTCCAGGGTCCGAAAGCACTCAGCTTTGACAATTTCCCCTCGCAGGCTGAGTTTCCACGTGACGCCCAGCGCGAAGGGAAGCCATCGCCCCGTTTGCTTTCTGCATGGATTGGCAAACTTTCCATGATATCTTCTACTGAGGCATACATAAAATGTGTTAAAGCCTATAGACTTGCCTCGCGCGTCACAGTTTACAAAGCAGGCGAAGGGAAGCCATCGCCCCGTTTGCTTTCTGCATGGATTGGCAAACTTTCCATGATATCTTCTACTGAGGCATAAAATGTGTTAAAGCCTATAGACTTGCCTCCCGCGTCACAGTTTACAAAGCAGTACCCAATTACTTCTCTGGGTCCCCATGTCAGCGCTGTAGGGTAGTTGGGAAAGTGTTATTTCCAGTTCACAGATGGCAACATTAGCTCAGGGAGCGGCAAGGGCTTGCTCGAGAACTCTTAGCTTCTGGTTTCCTTCTTCCAAGGCTCCTTCTGTCTCCTCAGTGGACGCGACCTGCTATGCATGGTGGCCAGGTAGGCCTTGTCCCGCAGCTTCTCTTCTGAGCCTCCTTTTTCCCGTGCCCATCATCTTTCCGAGGCCTCACTCACCCTTTAGTTTCTAACACCTTCTCCGTTCTCCGACTCCAGGCCTCCCTTCCCCTGTGCTGGGCAATGCTTTCCTCTCATCCCCCATAGTCTTTCATACATCCAGTTCCTTCAAGGTCTCGCCGAGTGACTGGCTAATTTGATAGACCGAATCATGTCAGGATGTTAACTTCTAAAAATAGCTCCATTTATTCTCCCCATTTGGAAATCATGTACCTTCTCATCAAAGCCTCCATGATCTTAGTGCAAGGGAAAGCATTCTAGAGCAAGCTTGGGAGGGGCAGTTTGGCAATGTCCGAGAAGAGAACGACTCACGAGTCTTAGAGGAGTCGGTCCCATACGAGTGGAGGTCTACCGCAGGCTAGATGGGTGGTGCTCCTTAGTTAGATAAGGCCACCATTGATTCCCTGCATTGTCCCTGCTCAGACACTTTATTGTTAGTATTATTATTACCGAAATTGAAGAGAGCAAAGATCAGGTGATTGGGCCAACCGTATTCCGGGAACGTATCACTTATGGTCAGTGTGGCCAGAGCGCCTGCCGTGCGAACGGCCTTGTCTTGGCTACCTAGAGGGTTTCAGAGAGAACGCGGTGGTGTGTGGAGACACAGAGGTAGAGAAGCAGACTTCTCCTCCCGATGGAAGGAGCAGCGAATCATTGCAAAGGGCAGGTGAGCCAGGGAGGGGACTTGGTGGCCATTTGCAGTGTTCTGTCCAGGGACACACGAGTGGAGCTCTCAGGCCCTGGTACTGGCCTTTGTCCAGGAGAATGGACTTGCTCTCTAGGGACTCTGTGGATTGCTGTCACCTCAGGGCTGCTCTGCATGCCACCCTAGCACATCCCCACCTGGCCGTGCATCCCGCCTCTGAGTACAGATGCACGTCTGTGCTCCTGGCGGGCTTCTCGCCCACTCGTTCTCTGGGGAGAAGAACGCAGCGCTTCTCACCCACTGGAGGATGGAAATCCAGCAAGGTATTTCCTTTCCAATGCCATCAGCTCTACTGCCACCTCCTCCAGTCTGGCTGCTATGTCACCCTCTTCGCTGTCCTCTCTGTTTCCTTTATCCCCCTTCCCCTCTTCAGCCTAATCACAACATGGTAGTGAGGTCGAGTTGCTTTGCACAGATGAGACCATGTTGTTGTCCCACTCCATGCCCTCTGGTGCTCCTGCCATTCTAAGCAAAAACCTACAAGACCGCTGTCGTCCAGCCCTCGCGGTCTCTCCTGCCTCATCCCCTTTTGTGCTCATTGTGTTCACTGTGCCATCCACGTTGGGCTTGTGGCTATCTCGTGACCATGACAGACCTTTGGGACTTGTGGAGCTTTGAGCTGCTGTGTCTCCATGCATCACGTCTTCATATTGCGTCTTCTAGCTCATTTCTTCATGGCTTTCTCTCCTGCCTGCTCAGTGCTGCCTTCCCCGAGAGGATGACTCCGTGTGCACTGGCTCCTCTACTCTGTGATCCACGCTCTCAGCATTTACTCTAATTTAGTGCTGTTTACTTTCCCACTCCCCTTATTGAAGCACGAGCTCCGTGACAGCATGGCTGGTTCTGTCCGGATCTGGGTGCCTGTGGGATCCTGGGTGCCTGAAACAACAATGCCCAGCACACAGCAGACACTCAGTATGCCTGTCAGATGAATGAAGAATAACATTAACGAGTGCCCTTTGTACAGAGCCTGTTTGCATAAATTATCCCACAGAATTCTCTGACAAATCTGCTAGGTAGATATCGCCAGCATTTCGTTCGTGAATAAACAGAGTCTTCGTGAGGTTAAATACTGGGTCATTGGAAAAGTTGTAACGTGTTTTTCCATGCAAAAATGCATCATGACTTTTCTGACGACCCAGGGGATCAAAACCGGACTTCAGTTGCCAACTCCCATCTTCATCCCGCCTCTGTAATTGCAGCTTTGTTTCCTGGAAGGTTGTCGATGTGAAACTAGACATATCCTTGCCACGTCATGAGGCATGGGTGTACCCCAAGCTTCCATGCTTCATAGAGTTCTTTGTGCATCCCCCTTTTACTGCTGTCTACCAACAAACTGTCGTACAAACCATACCTCCTTTTTTCACGAGGTCCAGAATCCACACTGCAAACTCATCACATTGATGGCGTCACTGAGTCACCTCTCCCGGGTGTGAACTTCTCTTTGTTGAAGAGATAATCCACCCTCCTGTAGAGGCTGGAGCCCCTTGCAGACTGTCAGATAAGACTGGCCCAGCTTGCTTGAAGTTTAAAAACCAATTACATGGGTCCAGCAAGTTGGTGCAAAGGTGCTGGACTCCCACATAGTCTCCACAGTTCGAGTCCTAGACCCAGTAGTTTGAAAATCACACCGGGTGTATGTGCATGCTTGCCCAAAATCCCAGGAGGAGAAAGGAGGAGAAGGGATTGCAGTGTGGCTATCTTCACCTAGGGGGAAGGGGAGCGATTTCTCACTTTCCCTCTCACTGTCTCTGTCTCTCTCCATCAAGAGCACACATCCTATAGCAAAAGCTTAAAAAAATTTACATGTATTTTACCTTGATTTCTTTAAACCTAAAGTTAATTATAGTGCCACCAGGTTTTCAATTCCATTTTTAGAAATAAAGTCTGTTGCCTTCTAAGTCAATTCAAGACAATATTTAGTTTTTTGACTCAAAATTAGTTAATGTTGGTCTCATTCTGAGTGTGAACTAAAGCTTTCCTTTTAGAGGAGGACAGTGATTCGGCCTTTTAGAGCAGGCTCCACTTACAGCAGGCTAGTTTTTACATGTCCAAGTGCACAATTTTGTTTCAGTTTTATTTTTTAGAGAGATTTTTGCTATAGGGTGCATGTGCTCACCGGAGAGACAGAGACAGAAAGTAAGAAATAAACCCCAGGGGGAATGGCCATGTTGCAATCCCTTTTCCATTCTCCTCTCAGGATTCTGGGCATGCACGCACATGCACCCGGCATGAGTTTCCACCCACCAGGTCCGGGACTGCAGTGAGCTGTATGGGAGTCCAGTGACATAACCATTATGACGTCTGCTGGTCACTGTTTCAGGGGTTTTTTTTTTTTGAGGTTCCGTTTTATTTTGAGTGCCGGGGAATGTGGTATTCGAGGGGCCTTTAAAATCCTGATCCACGAATCCTTTACTCTCTCCCTAAGAATTATTTATTTATTTTCTTTGTCTTCTTCTTCCTCTTCTTCCTCCTCTTCTTCCTTCTTCCTCCTCTTCTTCCTCTTCCTCCTCTTCTTCTTCTTTCTCTTCTTTTCTTCTTCTTCTTCTTTTCTCCTCCTCCTCCTCCTTCTCCTCCTCTTCCTTCTTCATTTTGACCAGAGAGAGACAGAGAGAGAGGGGAGAGAGAAAAGAGAGGGGAGGGGAAGAGGAAAAAAAAAAGCCACAAGGTCTGGGACTCAAACCATGGTCAGCCTTATGGGAGTCCAGCACCTTAACTGCCACACCACCTGCCGGCCCTATCCATGTATCTTTAAGGGGCCACCAATATACTTTGGACTCCCCCAGCGAGAGGCTAGCTCTCCTACCAAATAGTTGTTTGCATTTGCAAGCACCTCCTACATCAGAAAATCCTTTTTTTTCTTTGCTGAGCTAAATTTTTTAAAATAATTATTTATTATTATTAATTAAAAACATTGCTATAGAACATGTGCGTTCACCAGGGAGAAACAGACAGAAAGAGAAAGTGAGAAAGCAAACCACTAGGTCTGGGACTTGAACTGTGATCGTCCATATGGGAGTCCAGTGCCTTAACCACCATGCTACCTGTTAGCCCTAAACTCATTTTTCTGTCCTATGAGGTTTGGAGTTGGATGGAACTGAATTTCTCTCTGCCTGCCTGCCTTCAAACACCTGAAGGCAAATATGCTGTCCATGGGCGCTAAACCCCCACCGCCCCCGTGTGCCCTCGTAGGATTTTGTCCCCGCCTGGCTGTCTTGCTCAACCCTCGCAGGCACTCACGGCCAACTCCCCTCTGTCAGCTGTGATACTCTGATCTGACCGTGGCGGGGCAGGGTTTTTTTTGAAGCAGAGGCCCTGCCTCTCCTTCCTTGCACGGCCATCTGTCCATGCCGCCCACGCCACTGTTCCTCGGCAGACATCGGCCCCCACTTTGCACTCATTCAGACTTGCAATCTGATACACTTGCCTTTTTGAAAATGGGCTTTCAGGACCAGCAGTCGGTGTAATGGCTACGTCGCTGGACTCCCATGTAGTTTACCGCGGTTTGAGTCCTGGACCCGGTGGCTTAAACTCATGCCGCGCACATGTGCGTGCGTGCCCAAGATCCCGAGAGGAGAAGGGATTGCGGTGTGGCCATTCCCCCTGAGGGGTGATTTCTCACTTTCTGTCTCTCATCTTTCTCTGTCTTTCTCGTGAGTGCACGTGCCCTATAGCAAAAACCTCTCCACAAAAAAAAAAAAAAAAAAAAGAAAAGAAAAGAAAGGAAATGGGCTTTCAGTTTCAGGAGGGCAGGATTCCAAACCTCCTGAGGTGCTAAGGTGTCCTTGTATGTCCAGCCTGACCTCTCCAGAGTGTGACTCTCTGTCTCTGCTCCTGCATAAAGTCCAGTGGTCAGCATGTCCTCCTCCCTGCTGCTGCGCCCCCACCAGGCGTCAGTGTTCCCACATGTCCCCTGAAACAGCTCTCCATGGTGGCAAGCATTTGACTCCTTGTTCCGTGCAGACTTGTGGAGGTCTTGCTGTGCGAGTCTGTATTTCTGACCCCATGTCTGCCCGTCCTTCTCGCCTTCCTCCCAGCTCACCAGAGGTAACCAACTGCCTCCCTTCTGGAAACAGCAGACTATGTGGTGTCCCCGCTGAGGTCTGGCATGACCGTAGTTAGAAATGCATCTCCTTGGGACCAGCAGATGGCGTAATGGCTATGTGACTGGATTCCTATGTAGTTGACTGCGGTTCGAATCCCGGATCCGGTGGCTTAAACTCACACCAGGCACATGTGTGCATGCCCAAGATCCAGAGAGGAGAATAGAGAAAGGATTGCAGTGTGGCCATCCCCGCTGGGGGGTGATTTCTCACTTTCTGTCTCTCTGTCTCTCTCTGTCTTTCTGGTACGTGCCTTATAGCAAAAACCTCTCCAAAGGAAAAAAAAAAAAAGAAAAGAAAAAAGAAAGACGTCTCCTACCTCCTACTACCTCATGCCTCCAGGGTACAAGGGGCTTTGTCACCTCCCTGCCTCCAGTCTGGCATCACGCCCGGCGCGGAGTGCATTTCAGTGACTGCTATCTCCTGGATGGACGGTGGGTGGACAGTGGGTGGACGGATGCACCATGCCCTGTCTTCCTGGGCTCGGGCGCGAGGGCAGGCTCCAGCGTGCAGACGCCGGGTTGTGTCTCCACAGCTCCCAGGGCCAGCTTTCAGTCAGTGTGTGCATCTCCTCTGTCCCTCTTCTCAAAGGCCCTGTCCTGAACACGTGGGGAGCATGGGGGACGGCACGGACATGTGTTCCTGGCTATTTCACAGTTCGTCTCACGAGTCTTCCTTCTCTGTCTCTCCTCTTCCCTCCTGGCCCCCGTGTCCCCACTGTCCCTGCCCTGCCTCTGTCCTCTCTATAGCCAGCGTCTGCCTCCCTGTGTGTGTGGAGGTGCCCTCGGAGACGGAGGCCGTCCAGGGCAGCCCCATGAAGCTGCGCTGCATCTCCTGCATGAAGAGGGAGGAGGTGGAGGCCACCACGGTGGTGGAGTGGTTCTACAGGCCGGAGGGCGGTAAAGACTTCCTTGTATGTCCACTGCTGAATATGGC